ATGGGGCTGGCACGTGATGAACGAATGACTCAAACCTGAAGACTTGTCAGATAAAAGGTGAGGTGAGCTAATCGTAGACTGAAGACCCAGGTAAACAATTAATTAATCTTTTCTGTTTCTTATAGCAGTTTTGTATTGTTTGTAGTGTGATCAACGTTTGCGTAAATAGTAGACGTATTAGGGAAGTAACACGTAACATTTTAATTATATTTTGCTAAAATGAACGAAATGACTCGAAAAAAGATTCGTTCGTTTTGCTGAACGAGACTCAAAGGTCCGAGTCGGTAAAATGATCCGAACTTCCCATCACTACTGTCAGCTGGGAAACTCAACAGTGAATGGTCGACGATTCTCAAAAGAATCATTATTTTCAACTGAATCTTTTCAATGGTTCGGTCGAACCGATTCGCAAAGCGCGGATCACTCGTCTGTGAACCTTTATGAACAAAACTTAGAACAATATTGGAAATGATTGACAATTTTCTTAATATTGGAAACATTACAAAACTGTTCAGTCAGGAATTTCCAGTGTGAACAATGTTTGAACAATAAACACAACATTTAATGCAATTTTATTAGCCTGAGAGAACAGCATTTTAATCATAAAATAATTAATTGAATTACAAATTAAATCCAGAAAAAAAAGGAGAAAAAAAAACACATAAAAAAATAACAAACACCCAAGTAATCTTTGAATTGGTTGGTAGCTAATCAAAGCTGAGGCAGGTGTGAATTAAATACTAATATGTCCAAAAACAATCCATCAATGTGAATACCTTCATAATGACAATAATCGACACAAATGTCATCAATCTAGTTTGATTTTATTTAGTGACTTTAAGCCTACTCTGCACACACATTCTAATGCTTTTCCTTGACACCCTTGAATTACATTTTGTAAATGTACATTCGAATAATTAAGCAATAAAGCACAGTTAAAGCCTCACATTCCACATATTTTAATCTGGGCCTGAATATCCCAGTACAAAGTGGCTAGAAATAACTGCAACTGCAAATCATCAAAGCATACAACATCAAGAATAATCAAGAAGTGCTTAAAACATCAACCATATTAACACTACCCCACTCTGAACCACTGTTTGGCTTACAACAAAAATGTGATAAAAACTGATGAAATTACTGGAAAACATCAGAAACTGAGCAACAACAAGCAAATCAATTAGCTGATTTGCCATAAGAACTGTTAAATATTAATGCAGAATATTAAATATTAATACATAAATATTTGAAACCAATTATTAAATATAATAAAATATGTCCCTTTACTTAAATCAAATGTGGGTTGACTATTTAAACTTAGGAATGAGAAAAACTCCTACATATCAACTTTCGATTTCATTTAGATTCCATTCATTGCATAATATACAGTGTGTTAAGTTTGATTCATATAGTGATATAAGACATTTTTGGGCTAAATTAATGCATACTATATAGTTCGTGCTAAAGTGTCATGGACAATATGAATACATCTAACTACAGCACTTTTCTGTCATGTCACTTCCATGACAATGACAATATAATATATTTGATTTCTGTTACTGTTAACATTAAAAAGCAAATATTCATTCAAAAAGGACATTACTGAGATACTGCAATAACAGTGTGCAAATGATGCAATATAACATAAGACATTTTGTGAAGAAAAAGTTCAATTTAAAGTTTAAATTGATTTTTAAACCTTAAAAATGCATTCATTATAGTGGCACAATTGGGAAAATATGATAATAACTTGAATATATGACCTCTGTTTCACTTCATGGAAGTGAGTCGTGGGATGAGAACATTCAAACATAAGTTTTTTCCTCCCTAGATTTTCATTGGTTGATGACCACAAACAATTGTCAAAATCTGTCACTTTACAATGTTTTTACATAGGAAATCTACATTTGGCACATAAATCTCAGGTACAAACACAAAAGGAGATGGGGAAATCAAGGGAAAAAGGAAACAAAGTCCACAGTCTAACATCCATCACAGATTTTAGTAATTATCTATATATTTAAATCACACCATTATATACTAATGAAATACATGGAAAAAATCAATAAAAGTGAATTAAATAAAATAACTTTCCATCAATACACAAATATTAACTCTTCTTCAGATGTGTACCACCTTTCAGGTGGAACCTTAAATCGGCTTGAACCTCTGTTAACAAAAAGGTACTAAAAGGTACTGTTAACACTAAATCTATAGTTGGACCACCTGTCTACGTCTTGTGTACGCCTTGCCTGAGAGTGACCAGATCTCTCGGCTACTAACCGACATTGCAAAGACGTTATGGCAGCAGAGAATGTAATTTTTCTCACAATCTGCAATTAACAATAAACTCTTTTTCAGTCCATCTGTACTCAAGGACAAGATTGCTGGAGAGGTTTTCTATTTAAGTCTCTGAGTTACATTGGCCAAGGCCACAGCAAATGCCTGTACTGCTGAGAATGGATACTGAAAATCCAGGATATATGCATTGCCATCGATTCTGCCAAACTGCATTACCTGTAATAGAGAATTATCGGTTAGATGCAGGGTAGATGTTTATTACTCAAAGCCAGTGATTCTTAATTTTGTATGTCTCCCTAATTTGACACAAAACAGTTCAGTTCATAGAGCTCTCTCCTAACAAGCTGATGATCTGAATCAGATGTGTTAAATAAGGGAGACATGCAAAATGTGCAGAGCAGGGGGTCCACAGGACCAGGATTAAGAACCACTGCTCCACATTGAATTAGCTTGGACCAATGAGGAAGACATCCAAAATGTGCAGTGATAAAGGGGTCCCCAGCCTGAGAGCTACTGCGTCAGGTCAGTGGTTCTCAATCCCAGTCCTGGGGACCCCCTGCTTTGCACATTTTGTATGTTTCTTATTTGACACACTCAGTTCTGTTCAAGAATCTCTCTCCTATAACGAGCTGAAGATCTGAATCAGATGTGTTAAATAAGGGAGACATGCAAAATGTGCAGAGCAGGGGGTCCACAGGACCAGGATTAAGAACCACTGCTCCAAGCTACTGATTATGTACGCCGCATATTTGTTAAAGGTGTAATTTCTTTGCCCCTAGTGTCACAAAATGGAACTGCAAAAATATTGTTTTCAAACTGGTTTCTCAAATAAATAAAACCACGTACCTGGCGTCCATCAAGCTCAATCTGAAAGTTTTTGGCTGACTCCTGTGTCACCCGTCCTCCAAAGTCAAGCTGGTAAACCTGGGTGGCTTCATTCCACAATGGCTGCTTGTTGGCCATGACATAGACAAAGCCTTGGCTGCCAAGACTACGATCCTCTCTCTCGTTAGCTTTATGGCACTTGATTTCCTCAAGTTCGTTTGCTGTACGAAGATTGCGTTTGCTCTTCCATCCTTTCTTGCTGCTCTGGCTTTGGTTCATCAACTCGTCACCACTGATGAAGAGCTCAGGCTCACTCTCAGAGCTGTCCTGGAACTCATTGGAGGTCCTACTCAGTTTCTTGGCCTTGTTCAACGGCTCTTTCTGCCCTTTAGGTTTCTTCTTTTCCCTGCTGCCAAGTCTTGGGCTGGAGATCAGGGAATTGAAGTCAGAGAGTGTGCGAGTCTCTTTTTTGGATTTCCCTTCAGAGACTCCAGACATATTTGCCTCTTCTGCTCTACTGTCAAGCCTCTTACGTCCCTTCTTGCTGAACCTCTCTGCTCCTTGTGGACTCTCATTGAGAGAGGACTGATCCTGAAAGCTCTCTCCAGATTCTGCGACCACCTCAGAAGTACTCTGATGGTTCAAGAGCTCAATGGGTGGAGGAGGAGGAGGGAGAGGAGGTGGAGGAGGAGGTGGTGGGGGAGGTGGTGGTGGAGGAGGAGAGAGAACTGGCTTCTCCAGGGCCTGAAGGGTCTTACTGGGCAGCGTGGCAGAATGGTCTGGCATGGGAGGACAAGTGCTATATGTGCTCCAAGGATGCAAGCTCATTGGATGCAGCTGAAGGTTGCTGCAGGAGCTAGTCCCTGGGTACATGGGAGGCAGAGTGCAACAACCTAGATTGGTCAAATTTGTGGGATAGCCTGGGGGTAAGACTAAAGCTGGGTCTGGTTGGCTAAAAGGGCTAGATGTTATCATGTCATTGGGGCCACATGATTGTGCAGGACTCTGCAAAGGCTGTAGTTGAGGTCCACCATGCCCTACAACTGATGGGAAGGGTGAAAGGGATAACTGATGGGCTGAAGGGAGGGTCATAGAATTGGGACTGGGGGGAGGCTTTGTTGAAAGGACAAAAGGTAGTCGGGTCATGTCTAAATGCTGTGGTTGGCTAAGTAAAAATGGGGGTGGCTTATGAGGTGGTCCTGGAGGTCCAGGCAATAAATTTTGCTCTTGAGGTATCCAGAGTTGTTCTGCTGCAGGTGAGTCCCATTGGTAAGGTGGAGGCCGTTTGACTGTAAAATTGACATCCCCAAGCGTTAAATGCCGTACTGATTTTTCAAGATGGCACTGCTGATTTAGTGTCTCATCTTCTGTAAAGGCAGAGTTGACATAGACAGTTCTGTCTCTACTGTTGTCAATGAGACTCAGGAGGTTATAGGAGGACTGGGAGGCTAATGGCGAGGCACTTTTGGAGTGCACAATTATCATGCTGTGTTGGGCCCCTTTGCCAGGTGGGAAGTCTTGCCTCACCACAGTTCCTCCAGCAATTCCGCTGCTGTTTGTGCCACCACCAGTGACACTTACACTAGTGCTGCTGCTATTACTGCTACACTGAGTGCATGTATACAAAGCTGTGGGTATCCTTGGCTGATAGGAGAGCGTGAGGGAACCGTTCATTTTGGATTTAGTCGGTAGAGTCGTCACTGTTTCCACCATTTGAGAAACCTTCAGGGTCTGTTCCCTGCGATCTCGACGTAAAGTGGCATGAATCAAATTGCTGTCAATCCTTTGTGTAGAACTTCTGATTGTGTTCATTTGGTTAGATGTGTCAGGATAAGGTGGTGGGTCTCCGCTTGGTATGGAATATCTAGGCACTGAGAGGCGACTAAGAGTTGCTGAGCTGTACGGCAACTGGATCTTCTTGTTCTCAGATGAAGTTACTTTCAATGTGGCGGAGCTGCCCATTCCTTGCATCCCGTAGGCATTTTGGTTCCTTAAATGGCGTCTCCTTGGGCGACATACCTCTTCGACATTTCCGCTACTGTCAAAAGTAGTGATTCTTTCATAGCCTAGTGGAGTTGGGTATTGAAGGCTAATTGGGTGAAGAGAGAATTCGTCCTTAGTTAAACATGGATCTGTTGACAGTGTAGTGCCATTCTCATTGCTAACAAGAAGACCAGGAGGGGCCGTAGTTGGTGCGGCAGCTGCAGCAGATACCACTGTACCTGGGTAAGGTGGTGGAGGGTTTACTTTACGCATCTGTACCTCAAGGGTGTCAGTTTCAATGAAAGACTGTGGTCGTGAGGGAATCTTAAGAGGGAGGACTTGTTCTCCTCTGTCTGGTGGCTGGTCTGGATGAGGAATTTGAGGCATCAGCTGTAATTGATGCAGGGTTAGAGTAGCATACCCTGAAGGTGGATGTTGGAGGGACATTTGCATTTTAAGCTGGTGCTGCATTTGTTGATGCTGTCTTTGCATTTGTTGATGTTGCAGCTGTATTTGTTGATGCTGCTGTTGAAGTTGTTGCTGCTGCTGCCTCATTTCCTGTATTTGCTGTCGAATTTGTTGCTGCTGTTGTTGCATTTGTTGTTGCTGCTGCTGCATTTGCTCATGCTGAATCTGCAACTGGTGCTGCTGCTGTTGGAATTGTTGTTGATGCTGTTGATGAATTTGTTGTTGATGCTGCTGCACTTGCTGTTGAATCTGTTGCTGCTGCTGTTGCAATTGCTGCTGTTGCATTTGCTGCTGATGCATTGCCTGTTGATGTTGTTGCAACTGCTGTTGATGCTGCTGTTGTAGTTGTTGATGCTGCTGTTGCAGTTGTTGTTGATGCTGCTGTTGCAGTTGCTGTTGATGCTGCTGTTGCAGTTGCTGTTGATGCTGCTGTGTTTGCAGTTGCTGCTGATGCTGCTGTGTTTGCAGTTGCTGCTGATGTTGCATGTGTTGCTGCTGCAGCGACTGTTGATGCAGTTGCTGTGACTGATGTTGCAATTTCAGATGCTGCTGCTGTGGTTGTAATTGCTGTTGATGTTTTGATTGTTGGTGGTCTTGTTGCTGCTGTTGTTGCTGACGTTGTTGGTGGGGTTGTTGTGGCAGATGATGTGGAGGAAGAGGAAGAGTTCCACTTAGGATGTTACTCATTTCCAGTCCGCTGAAAATCACCTGTCCAGGGTTGGAATATCTGGTTGGCACAGTGTACTGTGCTGTCACAGTGTCCTGACTATGCTCAGATACTGTTGCATTAGCTGCTGCTGCTGTTGCTGCTACGGCTGCAGCTGCCGCTGCTGCAGTGGCGGTGGGATTGGTAAGGACATCAAGCTGAATATTCTGGTTGGCTAGGAGAGACTGGACTAGACCTATACTCTGTGTAGGTGACATGGCTTGAGCAGGGCTGTGAATTGGGGCAATGGGGATATTAACTGTGCAAGGAGGATTGTCGGCTGACACTCCCGAGGGTCCCATAACTAGAAATAAGCAAGGACATTTTGAGATTGATTTCTTACATTTCTTTACTTGTTGTAGTTAAGCTATACAGAGAAAAAAATGAACAAAAATGTTCTACTGATTCTTACCAGGTAAATCATCTTCATCTTCACTGAACACGTTGGGATTGAAGACTGGCAGACTCATGAAATCCAGGGAAATTTTACGCACCTCAGGCAAATAGATGGTCATCTGACGAGGTTGCAGGTGCAGCAAACTAGTTTTATAAATAACTGGAACACCATGCAACATTTGTCAAAAATATTTTTAAAACATTCAAATTATTATTTAAAATAACTATGTGAAACTGTTCACTTGAATACAAAACCTGACAACATACCTGCTCCTAAGTTAGCTGGCAAAAATGAGGCAAGGCCTACAATCTTAAACTTTGTTCCCCAAATGTTAGAGGTGACCTGGGCCAAGTAATTATGCTGCAAAGCAAATTAAGTGATAGCTATAGAAAATAATCAAGGTCAGAGTGGGTTTACTGTCATTTCTCTTCAGCAAAGCAGGAGATTAAAGAAAATGAGGTGTCTGCTAGTTCATGCTGCAGTAAATGTGACAAATGCTTTACTCAGTATTGAGTAGACAGAGGCAATAAATACAAACACTTACCCTATCAATTCTAGGCAAGATTAATATAAAATTATTGCCAAAATAAGCTTGCAAATAAAATGTTAAGTACCTCACTAAAGCCATCAACTAGAAATTCTCTTCGAGTAAGACTCGGAGACCGAACTGGAGGCTTCTTTGGTAATCTAGGAGACCTAGACATTTCTTGAGATGTTTGGGCAAGTTTGGGAGACTTTCTTGATTCCATATTAATTCTAGAGAACAAAACAAATGTGAAACAAAAGACAATTAAATGAAACATTCTTTTATTTGCTATCAAGTTAAAAGTTGTTGATTTGTAATTTTATGTTTTTCCGAAATTTACTGTATTGTATTTTGTCAAGGTTGTGATGGAACAAACATTTCTTTAAAGTTTCTGGCACCCTAATATTGTGTGAATTTTATATTCAACAGTACCTTATATGTTTAGAGTACCTAGGAAGCTTAGGAGACCTGTTTCCTCTAGAAAGTTTGGGCGATTTTCGCCCAACCCACTCATCGCTCAACTCAATATCGCTTGAGTCTGAGCAGTTGCAGCTGTCAGTCATGTAGGAGATCATGCCATTTACACAGACCTCATCTGAAAGACAAGATTAGATCAAATTAAAGACCAGTCTTCAAGGCAAAAAAGACAATGCATTTACACATTAAGCTTGAGCTTAAAGTACACATGATAAGCAACAGTGCATATAGCAGTACCTGCTTTAACATCCATTTTTGGGTCCATAATGACAAACTCTGGTCGCAGCTTGCTGATGCGACGACCCTTGAGAATAGGAACCAAACCTCCCAGGTGTTCCAGATAGAGGGTATAACAGGGGCCTCCTGCTTCTGGATTCTCCTCTGAACGTTTCATAGTGCAGTGCAGGCGTTCATTCCCTGCTGTCGGATAGCTCACAAAGTCTCGGATGTTATTCGGATCTGGGATGGGTGGCTGGTGAAATGAAAAAGAATATGCATTTAGTTCACATTAGCATACATCAAAAACTTCACTTGCTTCTTTTGTACCTTGATAGTTGGAATGAAAGCAGTGGTAACATAGGAACAGAGGAGTGAAGGCATGTTCAGTTTTCCCACATCTCTCTCCTCTTTAAGAGCACTGGCAATGCCTTGCTGACATAGAAGCTGCAGGCTGGCCACACGATGCTCTACACGCACTACGTACAGGGCTGGTCCACAGGCCAGAAAAAGCCGTGAGTCCCGGTGACCCCAGCAAATCGTGGTGATGGGCCTCTAAACCAAAAGATATTTAGATTATATATAGTTTATTTATAATTGAATGTGCGCTGTAGTTTTTATCATTAAACATTTCTTATTATTATCAATGTTGAAAACAGCTGTTGCTGCTCAATATTTTAGTGGAAACCATAATAAACTGTGGAAACCATTTCATAGTTTGGGGTAAATAGAAGAAATTAATACTTTTATTCAGCAGGTATGCATTAAATCATTCAAAAGTGATACTAAGACATTTATAATGTTGCAAAAGATTTCTATTTCAAATAAATACTGTTCTTTTGAACCTTCTATTCATCAGAGAATCCTGAAAAAATGTAACACAGTTTCCACAAAAATATTAGGCAGCAAAAACATTGTTAATAATAAGAAACATTATTAATAATTCAGCACCAATTCAGCATTTTAGAATGATTTCTGAAGGATCACGTAACACTGGAGTATTTTAAAATATATTCAAATAGTTCAGACCAGTTCCTTTAAATTGTAAGTAGTTGTAGTTTTTTACTGTATTTTTTTATTCAAATGCAACCTTGATAAGCATAAGAGACTTCTTTCAAAAACATAAAAAAGGTTAATTATTCCAAACTTTTGACCGGTAGTGTATATATGCTCAAACTGTTAAATGATGACTGGTTACAGCTCACTTGGGCTGGAGTTTCTAAAGTGTATACATGTTCCCCTTGGACATTGTAGAACTTGACAAGGGCATTCCTCATTAAAGAGGCACAGGTTGAGTCCATCCCGGCCACTGCCAGCAGGTCTCCCTGAGAGCACCACTGTACCTCCACATCTGAAAAAAAAGTCTGTCCAGTCAGATTACAGCATGTTGTGTGGCTCTGTCACAGAGGATCAACCCTGATTTTGGGTTATTTTTACTGAATTACTTTGTAGGCTTAACCAGAAGTTCCTCAACCAAGAAAAATAGCCATATTTTAAAATGATGATTTATGCAAGTAGAACACGTTTTTTATTATTATTATTTTTTTATTGTTTTAAATATTGTAATTTTTATACATAATATATGTCCCACTTGCCAGACTTCCTACTGTAAAATGTAATCATCAGCATGCCGCAGATGCATATTATGATAAAAATAACTTGAATAATAATAATCCGATGACAGTAATAAAACACGCACTTGGTAATTTACTTATTGCAAAAACAATATTGTTTTACCTTTCAGTCCTGAGCGTATAATGTTAGGTGAAAGGTCGTCGTAGTTGTTCATCAAACTAATGTCTCCCGATATGAAGCTGACTGTGAGCAGCGGTTTGAGATTTTGCACTTGAAAGGAAACATAGTTTTATAAATGTTAATAACACTTAGAAAGTCAAATACACATCACTGCCTTGCAATCATCCAATAAAAATGTATAACATTTTGTATATGTTAAAAAAAAAGATTCAAAATAGGGTTTTATGGTCCTTTAGAAAACACTCTGGGAAAACACTTTGAGGCTTCACTTTTCTTTCATTAATTGATGATGCTTACAATGCACTGATGTTAAAAATCTATCATGTAATGTCAAAAAGTTTGTTGAAAAATGGCTACAAAGAACCATCGAAGAAACTTTATAGGTCTATTTAGTACACTAACGTTAAGCCGTATGTACTAGATAACAAATCTTTTTATTTAGTTGCAAAATGTAACTATTACTAGCTTTTTATTTAAAATTGGATATAAAAGTATGTCCAACTTTGGCCCTGTCCACACGAACGCGGTTATTTTTAAAACCGCAGCTTTTTCTACGCGGTTTGGCCGTTCGTCCACACGCAAATGCAGCACCAGTTCACTGAAACCGAACATTTTTGAAAACACCTGCCAGGGTGAAGATTTTCAAAAACTCCGGTTGCAGTGTTATCGTGAAGACAGCGAAACCGGAGTTTTTGGCTTGTGACGTCGGTGCCTGCGCTGTTATCTCCACCTACTGGAGACTTTTTCAGGCTTCTGATTGGCCAACATGGCTTTACGGTTGAGATTATATCGCCACCTGTTGGCTTGGCATGCTCTTGACAGTGCTTCATAGCATGCGTTTGCGTTTTCATGTGGACGGAGATTTTTTTTTAAACGGAAAAAGGAAAAACTCGAATACTCACTTAAGGCAATATACTGTATACTATATAGTGCAGTATATAGCATATCTCAACTCCTTGATTGTTTGTATCATTGTAAAATGTCAATTATATTATTGCCCAGCCCTAATCTGCTAAATGTGACTATAAGGCAAGAATATATTAAGATATTATCAACATCATGATTTTCTGTAGAGCTGCTTTGAAACAATGTGTGTTGTGAAAAGTGCTAAACAAATAAATTTGACTTGACATTATTTAAGAGTATAACGTACCTTGAGCTGGATTGGGGTCATCAGAATCTGTATCGCTCTCAGTGCTGTCCTCCACCAGGAAGTTCGGGCAGTTCCAGGACATGCTGATTATGCCATCTGACTCATGTAGAAGAACGTGGGCAAGCATACGGCCGTGGCAGTCCATCACTATGACTTGCCCGTCTGCTGTTCCAAAAAGCACCTAGGGAGATTAAATGAATGCAAACACCAAATTAGGAAAATTCAGGCACTAGTCCAAGGGCAGCGGTCCAAGTAATTTCATCATTTGCAAACAACCTGTTGACAACAAATGCATTTTTCCCTCAATTCGATGAGGCCACTGCAGAGAGTTACCTGCTGGTCATCAGGGGTCCAGATTCCACAGGTGATCTGGCTCTCCAAATTAATTTCAGACGACCAGTGTCTCTGACCGCTCACTGAACCCACCAGGACAAAACCATCCCTGTAGGCGATTAAGGCCTGTGTACCATCATGTGACCAGGTGAAGTCACTCACCTAGATGACAAACCACATTAAGCAGTTCATGTTAGAATAATAGCTGCTTTTACTAATCCTGATCCTGTTAGAAAACGGCCAGATGTGGAAAGTTTCATTAAAAGACACATTATCTTTTCTGATACTGATTTTGAAATATATTAATAAATTTACTTATTAACTACATTTTGTTTTCTGTTTTATAACTATGAGTAATTTTGAACAAATAATCCCCACTGGTGAATGACATGAGAAAATGGCATGGGAAAAGGAAATAATTGAATCATTATATCATACTTGATTTACATTGTCTTACTTTAACTCTATAAAACTTACTGTGTAATTTTTGATATACACAATTCTAAGACCTCTAAATGATCAACATGTTCAAAACGAGTATGAGCTCCATCTGGTCATATCATACTATATGAGCTATTAAATCCTAATGTATCAAATATGATATTCAACAAAAAAACAGAAACTTTTTTAAAAGATTTTTTCAATATTTTGTTTAAAAGTTCAATAAACTGTTCCATTTTTTTTTTTATTAGATTTTTCTGACTATTATTTCATATTTCAGGCTTTACACGGTTAATGGCCTTTTTGTGTGTGTAAGATAATGCATAAATCAAAAGATATTAGTACGTTTATCAATCTTGACATGTAATGAAAATACGCTGACATTCAGCACAGATGAAAAATAAGCATGAAATACTAACATACCTGGGCACCTCTGTCATTCACCAGCTCTACAGACCATCTTCCTTCATATTGGATCCACACAAATATCCCTCCCTCCATGTCACACGTTGCAAGCTTCTGAAACGGTTCATTCCACCTAACAAGGACAACCTGTACAAGAACAGCACCATGGGAATATTCATGCATAGGATGGCAAATTGACAAATACACATTCTTTTGATGTATGTAATTAAGTCATTCTTTCTGAAGAAAAAAAATTTAAATGTCAGAATTTTGATGGTAAAGACTAAAAATACTACGGTAAATTCCCTTACTATATGGTGAAAAGCTGTAATAGTTCTAATGGGACATTTCATTTAATTTTACAGTGAAATATACTGTTTTTGGAAGTCATCTTATAATTTACAGTGATAAAAAATACAGACATTCCCAGAAATCTCTGTGTGACACTGTGACAATTTTTTTTTTTTTAAGCCGTAAATTTTTTACAGTGTACTATTAATTTCCTTAGGTGTAAAGTGGAAAACATTACTTAATGCAACTTGCAATTCAACTATTTAAACCATAAGAGAAGAGGCAAACTCCCACCTCACTGTTATGACCCCGTAAATTGAAGTTGATTCTTTGTGGGGTATTTCTGTCCCTTCTACAGTGACTAGATGTGAACGTCACACCCACAACACCCCTGGCGTTCCCAGTGGCCAGCCAGCCCTCCTCATAGTAGCGCCTCCTGCACACCGGCTTCTCCTTCTCACTTTTGGGAACTCTCCCTTTCCATGAGAGGCAGAGGATGTTGGAGTCACTGCAGAGGACCGGACCATGCTCCACCGCAGCCAACATCCCTACAGACTGGCCAGGCTACAGGTGTAGAGGGAGATGATAGGGAGTTCATGCTGAAATATTTAAAATCAGTCATTTTTAATGGTAATTAATACTAAGTTATATTAGAATATGTGCATATTCATTCGATAAATGGGTTGTTAGGCAGGGAAAGTTTATTTATACACACTCAGAAAAAAAAGTACAAAACTTGTCACTGAGGCAGTACCTTTTCAAAAGGTACTAATATGTACCATTTAGGTACTACTATGTACCTTTAAGGCACTAATATGGACCCTTTTAGGGTAAATAAAGATAGGGGTATAAAGATGTACCTTTTGAAACCAACTTGTACTTTTTTTGGCCTTTTTAGTCTATAGCTAAAACACACTGGTAGTGGTAATGTAAAGTGATTTACATAAAAAATAATTGAAACAATGATAAATTAATAAATAAAATAAAAGTAACAGTAACATATAAAAAAATACAAAAATTGCATGGACATTTTTTTCTTCAGAATCAAAATTTTAGGTTAAAATTTATGGGAAAGTGTATATTTTAAATGCCGTTAACTGGTAACCATTTCTTTCACCATTGTAAATCAAGATGATTTTAAAATGTTAAAATACCATCTCCTATACAAATTTAACATGCAAAGAGAAATGTAAGCCATTAATAGTTGGATTTGATAATTAACAGCCAGTTTGAAAATTATTTTCATTATTTTTGCAATTCAATTTTGTGTTAATAGTGGCACAGAAATCAAATCACAGACTTTACCTTTATATAAGCCTGTGGTGGGACAAATCACATTCCATGTAGTGTCACATCTAATACCATAAAAACTGCAAAAGCATGCCTAATAAGTATAAAAGTTATTAGTAGTTTTAGAAGGAATGTAGATGGAATGCCACTTGCAAAATCTGACAACTAACTATTTGACATTATTTGTCAAATTTCTGTTTGTATTAAACAAATATATATGCTTTCGATGCACCAGAAAACTGATTGCAAAATGTAGTTTCTGAAAATACCCACCTCTTCATAGTCCCTGGACATTATTGGTCCGAGTTCCGTCTTTGAAGGAGTGCTCCATTTTGCTTGCTTATTCAAATAAATTGCAGTACAACCTGAGAATTTCTTAACTGCAGATGTGTCTTCAGAAAAAGTGTGAGTAATATCAGGCCATTATAGTCTGAGACTATTGCACATCATGAGCAATGCAGTCTGTTCTATTTCTGTTCAACAAAATAATGTGAATTACGTCTAAATCAAAAGTCAAGGCCTAGTGCAGTTTATACTCATTATACAAAACCAGCTTTCAGTCTTTGGTAGTCCAGGTTTTCTATGCAAAGAGAAACACACACACACACACACACACACAAATGTATATATTTATATGAGAAAAAGCCAAATATATAATTTGCAGGTTGAAAAGCAAGAACAAACCACATATGATGATGAGACAAGCTCTGCATGCAGAATCATTTAAAGACATTTAATTTCTCTGTCTGCACACACACTTGAGTTGACATTGGTCCCCCATTACGTCACAGGAGCCCCATACAATTCCTGCTTTATACTCAGAATAACGCAACAGAAATCATGCGTCGAAGCATCTTTACAAAATAAGCATGCATTCGTGCAAAAAAAAATACTTTTTTGAGAAAAATCTGCACAACTAAGGATGAGGCAGCTCGCAGGAGTCATGGCAACAGGGATGTGATGATGGCTGAATTTTAATGACACCCAGCCTAAGACTTCATGACTGCATTTATTCTCATTTCCAATAGAAATATTAAGTTTTCCATGCGTTTCTCTTAGGCTTAAAAATATATATGAAATTTCGTTTAAAACATAATCTCACTGTTAAACTACAATACAATAAAAAATAACAAATAACCTTATAGGGCTACCGAATCATAACAAGCTTAGTTTCACACATATGCTTATGTAAGAATAGTGGCAGGTAATTAAGGAAATTAAGCTGGATGCAGTTTACAATAAATCCATCAATGGTTGCCACCTACACTCGTGATATAATTACACAACCATCCAGTATACAACATTGACTATTCCTGTGACATTCCAAAGAAATCAAATGAGAACAATGTGAGCCAAAAAGAAAATAATTATTTCGAGTAATAAAATAAAAATTCTGCATTCGTTTCTATCAGCAAACTCACCTCTATCAACTCGCTCTCAATGCGTCTAAATGGTTGCCAGATGCTCATGGGAGATTTTACTCCACAGAGCGTTAAAGTCATTCAGTGACAATGCTGTGCATTGGCGCAAAATAAACCCTGAATGAGGGATTTTTCGGCGTGAGAAGGCAACCCGCGCTCTGACGGAACGGTGCTGTGGATCACATGACTGCCAACCCCATCCAGATAGTATACAACAAATGCAGTGTCCAGGCCATAGTACAGGCAAGCTGGACTGATATAAATCACCTGTCTCCATTCTTATTTTGCCATACGAATTAAAAGGAAAAAAAACTGAATAATGCAAAGCTTCACTGAGAAGAGAAAGCACAAATTTCAAAGACTACTATTAAAGCACGTTACTTGAACTATATAGGCTACGATTCAAAATGCTGTCTTTCATCTCAGTAGTTTCTCATCCATTTTCTACAAAAAAAAGAAAAAAAAAACATTTACATTTTTTTTTTAATACATTGCTATGGACCCTGTTCATTGTTCAGTGGTGGTCATATCTGCAGGGTGCATCGTTTTACACAAAAAGGTGGCGACGGGTGTTGTAAAATGATTATTCACTCAAACGACTCGTTAAAACACCGACTCGTTCACTCGTTTCCCCACAAATGACAACAAACAAATCTAGATTTTTTTTCCAACAATTTCCTAAAATGCTGGACATAATTTTTTTAAGGCGTTGTGTAAAAGCACAAAAACGATAGCTTAAATAATAACAGATTTTTGTTATTAATGTTCAGTTGACATTAAGGCTCAAAACCTCAAAACACCGATTCATTCAATAAAATGGGCGTATCGGTTCAGTAGTCCAGCCAATAAAATGCCCCTCATCACAGCCTTCTCCATGGCTATTGGCTCGTACTATAGTTAGTATTTGAAGGCACGAATTCAGTCACGTACTTCAAGGGAGCGACATTAGAAAGTGAGCAAATTCAGTGTGCAAAAGAACGATTCGACCAGCTCGGAGACAAGTGTCCTACAAATAAATACAAGACTGAGTGTTTAAAGGTTCTTTAAGTGATTTTTAAAATGTCCCTACAATAGAAAACAATGAAATAGGTGTTCAGACTTTTGTTAGCGACATTGTAAACAGCACAAAAAGTGTTAAGGGATCGCCCCGCATTATTTAGGGTAATTATTTATTTATTTAGTTAATCAGAAAACCTAGCAATGCCCTCGGTCTATAAATAATTGTAATTACTTATTTAACCAGGATTGCTGATACCTGGCTGGTTTTTATACCCACCCTTAATTAAGAACATTTATTTGAAAGTGTATCGATTATTACTGCACTCTTTTTCAGCGTTTGCTGTTTCCAAAGCGCAGATTTACCTCAGAGCTCACGGTGAGTCTGACCTAAGAGTTCCGCGACCCCTAGAGGACTCAGTGTCTCGTTCCCTACTCAGGGAACCACGGTTACACAAGTAACCTGAGACGATTTTTGTTAACACTACAAAAGGATAGTTTTTTTTTTAAACTCATCTGTTGTGCTTCTTAGCTTTTTCTGTGTTACAGTTTTTGTACTGTTGTAAATGTTGTTTTCTGTTAGTGAAAAGGAGTTTTACCAGCACTTAGGAGCTTTTTCCAGACAGACTGCAGAAAGACTCTGGAGAGATACTTCACTTTCATCTCAAGAAAGGCAAAGAGAACAATACCATATTGAACAGATTCCCAGGAGGTCTTCTGCTGCATTTTTAGCTGTTCCTAGTGTGTATGGTTTATTTTAGTTAATACATAAAAGGCATACAATATTCTTTCACTTACTATGAAATTACCATGATTTTTTTTATACATGTATTGTGGAGTACCATGTACATACCATGATATATGAATAATGCAATCATTCAGTGGTCTGTTTCAAAGTACATAATTTTTGTTGAATACTTTGTGACAATCGTTGCAATGAAGCAATAGTCACATATATCATTTTCAGGATTTGGATAAAAGCGTCTAATGCATAAATGTAAATGTACATCATTAAAATCAAATGTTACATCTGTTAATATACTTTATTGAACCTGAGCTGACATGAACTAACAATGAACAGTTGTAATTAATAATTATTAATAAATGTATTGCTCATTGTTTGTTAATGTGAGTTCATGCATTAACTAATAGCACCTTATTGTAAAGTGTTACCCATGAAAGAAATGCAAATGAGTGTCAGTACAGGATAAATCAGATCCCTGTCAAATCAGAGCAAGGCTTTCGGTTATTTTTCTCCTTTTTGTCATGTTTAATCGGTGTTTTGGGATTTATATACAATCCTTTGCAAGTCCTTTGTCTCTTAGCACAGTGCAGTCAGGTACAAGCCTCTTGAAAGATGTGGATGACACTGTCATATGCAGGTGGTGGAGTCTGTCTGGGTAGAAAACCTCTTAGACTGCCCTTCCCTAGCCAGAAGGACTCTGCTGGTTCTGCACTAAATGGATCTGTGATGTTAGGAAGTAATGCAGTTTGGTTTTCATCCTCTGTTTCATCACCAGTCTTGTTAGACTTTTTAGGTGGCGGCCGAAACGTGGAGTTCTGAAAGCTGGGGCTTCTACCCAGCAGCTCATTGGGGTCTACGGAAGTCTGTCTGTGAAGGTTTAAAACCGCTCTTCCCACATATTCAGTGTTCTTGTCGAAGCCGTGACTCTTGTAGTGTCTGAGGTGGCAGTGCTGGTTATGCGAGCCCTTAGATTCTGACGACTGGTTTTGACATCCGGTGATCCTGACCGAAGCTCTCCGTCTTGACATCCATGTAAGGAGGAGGAAAATCAAGATCCCGATGAGCAGACCAATTAATATCGACAAGCAGAACGCCAGGATGAGCTCCTCTGGATGGAAAGGTTATTGAATTTTGAGTATATAATATCAATATTATACATTAAATTCAATATTAAATACATTTTGAATAATGTTTACTTAAAGTTATATGTATACAGACACACACTGGGGGGAGATTTTTCAAAGTTGTAAATAAAACATTATTGGAGAATGTTTTACATAAAAATATTTCCGTCTTTCTACTTACAAATGTCATGTTTAATTCATTGTGTTACTTGCCATTTCTTTGTAATTAACTGTGAAATTGACCAGCAATTTCTGAGAGAATATTGTTTCTATACCAATTTTTATTATTATTTTTATATTCATTTATTGCAAGCACGCAACACATTAAGAATGCTGTTTAATAATAATAAATAAATACATAAATAAAAATAGAAAATTATTGTTTAAGAGTTACATTTCTACAAATCATTCTGAAATTGAATTGAATCATCATATGTTTATATTTGCACAGAGTTTATATAGGTATAAAAGTGAAATTTACACTGAGCCAACTCAAGCAAGACTGTAAAACAAATGCACAGCAATTCTTACCAAAATCAATAGGTTTAAGTATTTCCCAAATCGTATTTGTTTCATTTGAAGCCATAATAGTTAGCAGAAGCATGTGAACATGCAGCCAAACTCTCACTCCAAGCCCACAGGAACTATTCACTGTATTTCTCAGGGAATATGGCACTTTTTCTGTTTGCATGAAGGGAAACTTTGTCGTCAATCTTCCTGCCTCTTTACTCGTATAATTAGCAAGTGCTAGGCTTATCTGTTCAGGACAGAAATCCAGAGGAACAGGGCTGTTTTCCTCTTGCATCATTTCCTTCGCTTCAATCGACACAATACAATGGCTTCTTCACCCCATTATATTATAATAGACCAACTTACGCCATTTTTTTTAGACCTTTCCGCACTTTGTTTTGAGATTGAGTGAAGATAAAAACAAATACTTATGTAGATAAAAACGGAACAATACATTTCTGAAGTTTCGATTTGACACAGTTCCCAAAAGAAAACTCCTAGGCGATAAGTTCTTAGTTGTCAGAGGAGATTTCCTTACTGCCCTAATATCTGTACCTTCTGGCATATCACTGTATGTTTCATGAACAGAGAACCAAATAATAATATTCCTACAGATACCCACTTTAAAGTAATATAACTAAAAGTGCCTAAAAATGCATGTCTTCTCAGAAGAAACAGGGAGAGGGTATGCATTGTCTGAATTCAACAGAATTCCCAGTCACTGAAACCTCCTGGTGTACTGGCTCTTGCAAATATTTGAGTGAACCCTTACGAAAAAGAAGTTTATTCAAGTGTGCTATTAGTTAAACTAGTTGTGTACTCAAAGTTTACTACTGTTATACTTAAAGTATACTTAAAAGTATACTTTTATATACTAGAAAGTGGGCCAATTTAGTCCCAAGGAGTATTGAAATAGTACGCTTACAAGTAGCCTATACTACTAGTACACTGATATTTGTATACTTACTACATAAAGTATACTTAAAAATAGACTTGAACTTTACTTAAGTATACTTGCTAAAATAAACTTGAAGTATACTACTTTTTGGTAAGGGAAGGACAATTTTATCCTAAAACAATAGGAGGACATCCATGCTCTTGAGTTAATTACAAAAACAGGAATGGCCAGCAGATGTCATTATTGAACCATGTAGCCCGTGATGTAGATACTGGGTGGTATCTATCTATCTATCTATCTATCTATCTATCTATCTATCTATCTAGTCTCTGTTCTCTTTCATTGAGTTGCCCTGTGTACAGTAAACGCCCCCTTATTGTTCCCTTTATCACCGATAGGTGGCGGTAAAAGTCACATGAAGTAACACGGCCTTGCAACATTGTTTCAAGGTTTCCATAGCAACCCGTCTAACAGAGTTTCACCATCGTCACATGAGACGCAAGAGCGCTGCGGGAAAGGAAGCGTCATCTGCTCACGGTAATACACGCACTACAGAGTAACAACTGTACAAACAAACAAATATAGTGTCTGATAAATCAGGGCTGGTTTTCTTGGAAATTTAAAAAATATATTTTTTACAGTGTGATTTTGTTCTGTCTGACACCCATGCGGTTACTTTTCCTTCTCGGTTCACTGACTGTAGATAGAAGAGGACTTCTGATTGGTCGACTACTTGGTCGAGCACCTATATGAAACCTGCTTTTCT